TGGTCTCAACTGGGTTTTCATTTTCGTACTATCTACGATTAGATCCTATAATACAGATTTCTTGCTTGTGTTTGTTTTAAAAAATGCACCGGAAGAGGGTCTTGCAAAATATGGCATGTTAACTCATTCACTCCCAAAGACGTATTTCGAACTCTTTTCAGACGCCACACATTTAATCCCAGCTCCTCATTCTGAAAGCCATTTTCAGACCCTTTTCAAGTACAGTCAATATAGAATGAGGAGCTGAGATTAAATGTGTGGCGTCTGAAAAGACATCTAAATACGTCTTAGGTAGTGAATGAGTTAAGTGGAAATTGCAATATTGAGGGGAAAAATAAACTATAAAGTCGCTTTGATTCTTTTTGAAAATGTTTCAGCCCCAGTTGCGAGCCTGGGATACAATTTCCCACTCAGGGTTCGCGCCAGCATCCTCGTGAATCTTGCTGACTTCCTTTGGCTGTTTTGCGCTCTTTCTCCTGCCATTTTCCCGCTTTTCTGCTCCCGCCGCTCAGGGGACCTCGCGCTCGCCTCTTCTTCCTCCCGACCTTTTGAAATCTCTGGCCGCCGATGTGGAGGACGAGGACGAGCTGCTCTTTTCTAAGCCTCCCAATTTCTTCCGGGCTCTGTCCGCTCCTCTTAGCTCGCTTCCCGGACCCAACTTGTTTGTACGTAGTCCCGTTCCCTTTGCCGTCCTCCTCCCTCGTTTCTCGATCCTCAAACTCGCCTCCGCGTCGGGCGTCGCGCCGCCTCCCTTCATCGTATCTCCTTTCTTCCTCGTTTTCCTCTCCCCCCAGCTGCCCAATCACAGCAGACAGACGGACGGCGGCCTCGAGGCGCTCGGCCAGTCGTCTTCCCTCTTGCCCACGCAGGTTAGCCCCGCCTCCCGCCTCGCCGTGACCTTTAATCATCTCGCGCGGCAAGTTCCAAAATGCCATTTTTTTTCCCCCGATTTCACAATTCACGTAAAAGTGTGCCGCGGGTACCACCAGCAGCAGTATGACTTTCTCTCTTGCAAGATTAGGATGCTTTTTTCCTAAGAGGAAAAAAGCAATAGAAAATATATATATATATTTTTTCCTTACTTTACTCCCCCTTGTGGTCATAATTTTTTTTTTCTTGAAATCATGGTTGTTTTTTTATTAAGATAATTTTTTTTTTCCCGAACAAAAATGATTCACTTGAGGGGGGAAAAAAATCAAAGTGGGAACATGACTTTCACCCACCAACGCTGACCTCTTTCCAATTCTATCTGAACTTTTAACTCTTGTCTGTTTTTGTGTGGGTTTCATTTTTGTGTCTTTGTGTGGTTTCTGTGTTTGCGTGAGTGTCAGGAGTATAACCAGAACAGCATCTTCAGTCAAGCCTACGGGAAGAACTTGCCGTCAAACTCCAAGTGTGACGCTCCCATGATGCACCAGGAGACATCGCTGTACTCTTTGTTCGAGTGGACGCCATGGTCGCCCTCGCTGCCCGCCAGCTCAGGTGCGTAGCGCGCTCGCACATGTCCGCACCTGCCGCGCATGGCGATGGCGTGTCGCCGGTTCACCGGCTGCTCTCTTGATATGCAGATCACTCTACCCCGGCCAGCCAATCCCCTCACTCATCCAACCCCAGCAGCCTGCCGTCCTCCCCGCCCACCCACACCCACAACCACGCGGCGGCCACTGCCGCCGCGCCCTTCTCCAACTTTGGGCCCATCGGCACACCGGACAGTCGCGAGCGCAGAGCGCTTGACCGCTGGAAGCCCGACAAGACAGGTGCGCTAAAACAAAAAATTGAAATCGTCCATGCTGTAACGTTGGCAAAAAAAAGTAAACCGGGTGAAAATCTGATTAAGAATTCCGTGCATTGCTTTTGATGGCAACATTTTTTATTTTTTATTTTACTTTGTGGTTCAGGTGGCGTGAGCGGCTTTGGGTTGGAGTACCTGCCGGCCACCACTTCGGACGCCAGCTGGCACCAAGCCCCCGCCAGCGGCAGCTCCTGGACCAATCAGGAGTCTCCGATGGAAGAGTCGTCCTCCAACATGCTGCTGGACAGCTTCAAGGTAACAAGCGCTTGTCGTCCACGCCGCGCCATGAGACAAGACTTCACAGCCTTTTCAAAGTGCCACCTGGAGAATTTAATTGGAGCACATCTCCGATATTTTCACTGCAATTGTTACCTTGACAGAGTGGCTGCCATCATTGTTGAATTGTTTTTTTTTAACATGAAATGAGCATTTCAAGTACCTCTGTTTTTTTCCATCTCTCTCCTTGAATGCTATTTCTTTCATGTATCCACTGTGGCTGATGAACTGCAAATTTCACAAATGAAGAGGTTATCTTCTGTTTAAATCTTGCCTAACAGCAAATTCATGGCGAGGGGAACAATTCATGTCCCAAGTGAACATGAGCTGTTTTATATTATGGTTTGTGTTGACTTTTATTATTTTTGTATTTGATAACTAAATCAAATCCACTTACAATTTAAACATCTAAAACCATATCAAATAAAACAACCTTCTACAGCGTCTTACAAACTTTGCCAGTGTAGACCTGCTCCTTTAATAGGAAGTCACAGGGGGTTAAATCAGTGTGTGTATTTCAATGCACTTTATTTGTCTTTGTTTTACATTTTGTGCCACAGAACTCACCGGATTCGTTTTGTATTTGCAGTCGATCTGGTCGAGCTCGATGATGCAGCCTGGCCCGTCGGCGCTGGAGCAGCTTCTGCAGCAGCAGAAGCAGAAACAACAGCGAGGACACGGCACCATGAACCCACCGCACTGAAACCCCCGCACGATGACATCATCGACATCATGGCTGCCACACTTTGACGAACACCAGCAACCGTTGGTGGACGCAGGAGGGTTGGGGAGGCACGACCCCCTCACCTCCAAAAACAAGACACCAGGATGAGACTCCACCCGGACGAGGTCGCCTCCGCTGAAGGGAAGCGGGCCGATGCCAACGACGGGCGTTGCGGGACCGCGCGCATGCCATCATCGCTAACTAAACAGATGTACACACAACACACGCATAGAACAAAAGCACACACACACATAGAACAAAAGCACACACAAACACACACACATACACGAGTGGATCGGCAGGACTAGTTTGTCCACGCCGGACATCCTCCCAAGTCCACGCGAGGCTTTTTCGTGGCCTTTTTGTGTCTTTGGCAAATCTGAGGGTGAGCGAGGACGCTGCAGTGGTCGGGTGACTTGGAAGATTGAATTCCTCACTATTTCTTTCCTTGCTGAGGAAGACGACGAGGACGTCTAAACATGTAAATGCGCAAAAGATGGGAAGGCCAGCGTGCCAGATGTACAAAACGATGTAGTTCGTGGTTTGTCGTTAGCCGTCTTTTAGCGAGACAGCTGCTGTAATAATCCCGCTCGGTAGTTTAGCCCTTGTTAGCTTTTCTTCCTCTTCCGCCAGTTCTCGAGCAGACGGGAAGTCGCCTGGACCGAAACTTTTTAACGACTAGTCACTTTTTAAGCGGAATGGCAACGGAAGATGATAATGAACTAAAAGTCAACTTTTTTTTCATTGGCAAGCATCATCGTGTAAAGCGATGTGAGGCGACGGCCTGCCCGAAGACCCGCCTCGAAATGCTCGCTGATGAAGGTGGCCGTCGTCAATATCCCGCCGCTATGTTGACGACACGTAAATGTTCATGATTGCGTGAGAAAGACAAAGTGATGAAGATATTGAGCTGCTAATGCTCACTTGTCCTCTTTCCTTTTCTTTTTATGTCCTTGCTGCCAATAAACAAGAAATCTCTCCGACTATACTCAGACCTTATGTGTGTGTGTGTTTGTTGGGGTGGGGAGGGGCAGGCATACTTATGGACAATATGCACATAAGGATGAGCCATGAAGAAATGTGTGTGCCAGATATAGCAAAATCATTGTTTTTCAAATTGACAAAATGTTTTATTCAGAATGCAATCAATATAGTCTGTCTTTGCAACAGTTCTTAATATATAAAAGATAAAACATAATAGCGGATTATTCTGTCATTTTTTTTTAAATTTTATTTTATTATAAATATCCATAAAAGATAAAACATAATAGCGGATTATTCTGTCAATTTTTTTTATTTTATTTCATTATAAATCCTTTTACCATACAAAAACAGGACGCGAAGCATAAATGATTCCGTTTCTGGTTTGGTGTGGAGGGGTCTGCACTACACTGCGCACAAGTTGTAATGCAAGAACTGCGAGTGCTTTTTTGGGGTGATCGGCAATGTAAGGCATTGAACGACATATGCTGATCACATCAGAAAATCGGCCTATCGGTCGGAGAGCTACCCACATTAGCCTGTGATCAAATTGTTGGCTAATGCGTCACCAAGGACGGACCACGTGGGACTTAAAGTCCTAGAATGTTAACCTTTACCGTGATTACCAATTTGCGTACTTTGGATAACGTTATTGCGTCAAAAGGGAGTTCGCGAGTTTTTTAAAAAGCTACAAAGTCAGTTACATTGACCTTTACCATGGTTACTAATTTGCATACTTTAAAGTGATTCTGTGAAAAGCGAGTTCTTGTGACTTTCAGCCCTGCTTAGAAAAGGCTACAAAATCCTAGTATGTTAACCTTTACTATGGTTACTAATTTGCGTACTTTGTATGACGTTCTTGTCAAAAGCCAGTTCACGTCAATTACTGTAGTAATGCACGGTGTCACAGCTGCCTCGAGGATTAGAGACTAGTGTGCCGCACAGCAGTGTCTATGGCTACCGTGCCGACGGTGTTGTTAGTTGGTTTAGCAGCGGGCATTTCCCCTTTAACAATAAAAGTCAAAGTAATAATGACTGACGAAACATTTGTGGCACTTGTTTTTCGTTTTGGAATCGTGCGAGGGTGTCACGTGACTGAAAGCGCAGTATTACTTCCGGTGTGGAGTCGAGTTTCAAGCACGCCCGTGACTTCAAGTCCCGCCTTCGACAGCTAAACCGAAGTGACGCTTGTCGCGCCTTCTGTCTTGTTTGGTGACACACGCCGAGATGCTCCAACCGCTGGCGTGCTTGCTGCTGCTCATTCTCGCGCTCGTCCATATCGGACGCCGCCGGCGGAAAAGGTTGGTGACGCTAAAACGCATCCTCGTGACGTCACAGCATACTTTGGCGTTATCCCGCTCGCTGGTCGAGTCAAGTCGTTTGCGTGGCCCGTGGACGTCAAACTAGCGAACTTTGTCATTGCAATCGATTCCTAAATTAATCATTGATCAAGTGATAAGAAGTTTGAGCGTCGACGTCACACATCCATTTTGTGGATCTTGAAACGTCGGGCAAAATGGGGGGGGGGACAGCCTGGACTAATCGCCAATGTTGAGCAAGTTACTGTACTGCCAAACTTACTGTAATATGTTTCTTCACAATCGTCGAGTAATAAGTTACACATAACTTTTTATTTCTCAGTTAACTGTAATTCCCCATATTGTGGTTGGTTTTGGGGTGTACAAAACTTGAAAGTGGATTGAAGTCTATATTGCATCTGAATTAGAGATAAGGGCTAAGAAAACCTTTCCTTGTCTATTAGAGTTAGTTTCAGTTCATTTTACTAACATATGATGTCATTTCAGTTCACATTTGTTAGTGCTTTTTTCTTTTGTCTGTTGTAGTCATTTTGTTAGCTTCTGTGAGCTAGAATACAGTAAACTGATGTGGTGTGTGCGTGCGTGCGTGTGTGTGCGTGTGTGCGTGTGTGCGTGTGTGTGTGTGTGTGTGTGTGTGTGTGTGTGTGTGTGTGTGTGTGTGTG